ATTTCAGGTGGACTTCAAAATGAATTACGCTTCCACTGCGTGGCTCTTTTATAATGACTGTTGAATGCTCAGGTGTTCTGGTTCCCACCTGCTCCAGGTCCACCGGGACACCCAGGCCGGCCAGGTGCAGGGTAGCGAGCAGAAGAGAGGAGTGCTGGTGACCCCAGCAGGAGGACACCTGAAGCTGCTGAATAATAGTGGACAGGAGATCCAGACCGCCGGCAGATTCCTCTGCTTTAGCTATTGTCTTTACCGCATCCTGGTAAATCACTCGGCTTAGACGTAGCAAATGTCTGCTGCTGTTGCCCAGACCTGAGGAACAGAGGAACTTTTCCACCAAAATCATCATAGCTCACATTATAGAGGACCACATTAAACCACTGCTACCTGTTATGAGCTCCTGGTGTTCTTCTAGAAGCCTCAGGGTGAGGCTGAATCTTCTTTGCTGGTCCCACGACCAAGTTTGTGTGCATTTCCTACGATCAAACTTCCTCTTAATGTCTCCATAAAAACACTCACAAACATCTGATGACCAAAAACACAAAGTCTTTAGGAACTGTTCACCCAAAATTAAAACGGTGTCATTGTTTACATTTTGTACATTTTGAAGAGCCAACACTCTCAAATGTCATTTAAGATGCTACTCTAGCATACCAAGTTTGTTGCCATTAATAACAAACTCTTTAATAAGAGCTTCATAAGAAAGCTCTTTTTTCTACATAATAAAGTACTTGCTCCTCAGTGCGTGAAAATGAATCGCAAAAACAAACTTTGTAATGTTATGGGAGGTGAGTATACCAAATCATTTGGTATTTGATCTATTATGGTCAAGTTCATATTAACTGACCTCTAGAGATGTCTCGGTTTTGTCTCAATGCTTGCAGATAGTCTTCAGTAACCCATCTCATTTCCTCACAGTGTCTGTGGAGTCTGTCCAGCTCCTTTAGCGTCCTAACAGGGGACAGGGGGTTTGTCACCTTGAATAGAAATGATATAAGATAGTATTACATAAGAATGTCTGAATGTATGCTGCTTCATGTGATTATTATTTGCACAATATTTTTTTATATGCATTTAGCTATTGATAAGAGAGGACTCACATATTCTGAGCCTAAACGATAGTATTTGATTGGTCCAATATAGCCATGAATCCCCTGCATGTAGCTGCATCCACCAATCACAAAATATCCTGATGTGTCATTGAATTGAACTGGCTGACGAAAACTGAAAGAAAGAAAGAAAGGTTTCACTTAACATGAACTACACTATAAAAAAATGGTTGTAGAAAGTTTAAAAAAACACTAAATAAATACATAAATAAATTTAGTTGGACGTTTGCCAAAAACCTTGCTTAAAAAATTTGTCATTGGACCAAGACAATATGCTTACATTAATTAGAATTATATTTTATTCTCTGAAAACAATATCTTAATATTTTATTCAATTTATTTATTGCTTAAATGAATATTATATTATATGAATATTATTATTTTACTGGAAACAGGACAAAGCATTTCTGTGGGAATCGAACCCAGTATTTTTATTTTACTTTTATTTTTTTTTGTGTAGATGTGATGTTGGGACTTACTAAGAAAGATGAGTGATCTCCAAATTCTTTCCTGTGGGTAAGATCTTTGTAATTGTGAGTTTTGCCTGACATGAGAAAAACTGTTTCAGTTTCTTCTACACTCACACATAAATGTTGTTTCATCAGTTGTGCCTCTGTATGTATTAGGGGTGTAACGGTACATGTATTTGTCCCAAACGGTCACGGTATGGATGTCACAGTTTGGTTCATGCAGTCAGATGACGAATACATTCAGTCATAGGCAATCAATTTAGAAGTAATGTAACGCTAACCTCCAAAACAGAAAAGAGCAGAAGAAGAGACGATCTATGTAACAACCCAAAACAAGAACGGCGAGTTCACATAACACACAAAAGCTCGAAGAACCGCCTGCTTGTTTTAAATCAGAAGTGTGGGAAAGTTTCAGGGTTCCAGAGATGCACCGGTCGAGCGGCTATGATTCTGAAAAATGTGGTTTTTGGTTTCATTTTGGCTGATCTCTATTCCAGAATTGAACTCAAACTGCATTCATTTCCTAAAATTTGTGTGGAAATATTATAAGTCTGCAAACAGGATGCCAACGAGGTCCATACTAAACCATGACTTCTGTGTACCGTTACACCCCTAGTATGTATTGAGTGTGACTTATCTAAGAAAAGTGCACATGACTCCATATGAATATAGCTGATGTACCTCTGACACCTGAAAGAAGATGTCCAGACGGATCCAGGTACGGAGGGGTAAAGCTGCGTGTGCTGTAAACGCCTGCTCCTCTCCAGCAACCAATTGCACCTGCACCACTATATCACCTGAGGACCAAGACATATTGACGCGTGCATGTCACGTACATAACAACTTGTATTTCATTCTGTTTCTCATACAAAGCTATTGTCTGGCTTGAAATATAGCTCATAACATGCACTTTCATTGCATGATACAAACATCAGATAAACATTATTTTTGCTAAGAAAATGTTGTGTTCCACAGCAAAAAAGATACTGGTTTGAGCAACATAGGTTTTTATTATTATTTTAGAATGTTCTGAAAGAATTGTTTAGAATTGCTAGAGTTTTTTCTTGAAGTGAGGTCATATGATGGAATGCGCCCTGACTGGCTTACCTGTGTCAGACAGCATAATGAGAGGACTTCCGTAGTTCCTGTATTCATTGACATGCCTGATTATTCCACACACAGACTGGTTGCACCAGCTCAGCAAGTACAGCCACACTGACAGCGTCACACTGCAGAGAGCAGATAATGGGAGCTTCAAACATGACGGGCCAACACCCTCTTTAGATTCAACATCACATCATCAGGACGGCAAGCACATATGAAGTGCTTATAGTGAGCACAGTAATGTTAGTTATGTTATCTCATATTGCATCTAAAAGACTACAACAGGAATTTGAGATTTCCGTTAAAAAACCGCAGTGTTAGAGATAATGTAGAGGTTCTAAAACTAGCCCAGTATTAAGGTGTTCTGAGTGTTTTCTAGGGTGTTGCTAGGCATTATGGTTGATAGGGCCCACAATGCCTAGCAATGTTTTAATTACAGTTGTCAGGCTGTAGTTAAGAGTCAGTTAAACATTTAGTGTGATTGTAAGGGTGTTGCCAGAGTTGTTTCTATAGCATTATAGGGTGTTGCTAATGTACTCTGCGTGATGACTAGGGTGTTGCTAAGGTATTCTGAGTTACAACTAGGGTGTTGCTAAGGTATTCAGAGTGACTACTAGGGTGTTGCTAAGGTATCCCAAATGACGAATAGGGTGTTGCTTAGGTTTTCTGAGTGACATCTAGGGTGTTGCTAAGGTATTCCGAGTGACGAATAGAGTGTTGCTTAGGTTTTCTGATTGACGTCTAAGGTGTTGCTAAGGTGTTCCGAGTGACGAATAGGGTGTTGCTTAGGTTTTCTGAGTGACGTCTAGGGTGTTGCTAAGGTATTCCGAGTGACGAATAGGGTGTTGCTTAAGAGTCAGTTAAACATTCAGTGTGATTGTAAGGGTGTTGCCAGAGTTGTTTCTATAGCATTATAGGGTGTTGCTAATGTACTCTGCGTGATGACTAGGGTGTTGCTAAGGTATTCTGAGT